ACCAACAGGTGAACTATACCTAAGGTTGTTAATCATATTATGATAAAATCAGTTTTTTTTTTAAATTAAGAAAAAGTCATTTTGTCATTAATATGCTAAAATGAATATCCACTACCCTATATCGTCTCGTGTCTTAAGAGGTGACAGAAGGAAACCCCCAGAAGATGATCAGCAGTCTCTTCTTAACAACAACTGAAATATAAAAAACTGCAGTTACCAACCAACCTGCCAAGCGTGGCAGGTATGACAAATATCCTCCCAAAAATCAATGGAGCGGGCCTATATTCAGCAGCGGGCTTTTAATAGACTGTATTGGAAATTGTAAGTATCCTAATAATAATCGAACCAAGAACACAAAGACAAGTTACTTCGTAGATGAATACCTATCCAAAATAATATTAAATAAAAATACGCAGTAATGTAATTCCAGGGCCACTTATAAGTTTAATGTACATACTTATGCTGGAAATAATATGAAGCAAGCTGTAAAAATTTCAGTACTTACATTATATGATAAGCTCACACATTTTATTCACATCACACATACATTTATTTACATAATAATTTACATTTAACACACAAAATAATAATATATTTTAGCATAATACTTACTATTACAAACTACTAGTTTATGGCGGATTATTTATTGTTATCAAGTAGGCAGTATAATATAATTGTTAACTCATTTTTGCTTCCTACCTACGTTTTTGCACAGTTAACTTTTTGAATTTACACAGGTTTAATACTAATAGTAGCAAATAGAAGTTAATAGAAATTCAATAATACCAAAACCGTTTTTCGGAATTCCCAAATTTTTTGTTGCCAGTTGCTACTTGCCAATTGTCATAAAAATATAGGGTATGTTCCGAAATACAACGCAGTGTACTGTTAATGCAAATGACATCATGAATCGACGCCAATCGACGCTGTACTGGTTGGTGATTCGTTCCAAAACATTGGACAGTATATGACGTCTAACTTTTGCGCCATTTGGAAAAGTGTTGGCGATTATTTTGTCATTTTGTGCTCCAAAAATCATTATATCCTCCTAATGGATATACCATCAATTATTCTATAATTTTTTGTATTTGAATAAATAGAAACAAATTCTGGCATGCTTCATTCGGCAAACACACAATTAAAAATTGTTTTATGGCCGGATATCCGACACAATATGGCGGCGGCACGCTAGTACAATAAAGTGTCAAATGATACGTCATTTGCATTGGACAGTACACTGCGTTGTATTTCGGAACATACCCATAACAAACTGCGGTAATTAAAATGTCAAAAATACAGACCCGACCAACTGTTCGCCGCCACCCGCCACAGATAACTATATACTAGTCAGCACTAGTCAGAGACCACCCGCCAGTAAAGTTGTTCACATGAAGGTTAGAGAACAGGAGAACGATCGCCGTAGAAAAGTGTCCTAGAAATGTGGACACCATCAGTGAGGTGCTGCGATCACTAAGTGCAGTCAATAAAAGTCATTTTCAGTATATTTTTCTCATCAGATGCTCAACCACTTGCACATCCACGCACAATAAAATATTTCTCCATTTTTTAATGTTTCATTTTGTCAAAAATTACAAAATTACGGAGCATGAAAATTTTCTACGAAGAAATGTACAATATTCAACTAACTTCACCTACTTGTACTCATAAACAGCTAACTTCGCAGTCACTACTCACCGACGTCAGTGCCGCTATGTATTCTACAATTTTCAGGGACAGGCGGGCTATGCTTTAGTACGTAGTGATCATTCTTCTGTTCTCTAACCTTCATGGTTGTTCAAAACGGCTATAAATCAATAGCACGCTACAAATAATATAATAAATATACAAATAATAAAATAAATTTCTAGCGCGCTATTAAATACGCTATGCTATAGCGCCACACTTATACACATAAACATATCCCACACGCTTTCTTATATATTTTTAAGAAAGCGTGTTGGAGGCCGACATGCGCGTAAAATTTTGCACCACGTTAAATCTCGTAGCACGTTACACAGCTAACTTCGCAGTCACTAAACATCGTTCGTTGGATAGACTGCGTGCTATATAAGAACATTATTTCGTAAAAAGTCGCAATTTAGACTAAAATAAAAGAAAGCAGTAAAGAAAAATTAGTGAACACTCTTTCATACTTTTTAGACTTACGACTGTCTATAATGGATGTAAGCGTTATTTTAACCTCAACGTAAACTATAAATCAATTAAAGGCGTATTTAAAAGTTTATTGATGGTATTTACAAAAATCAACTATTTACATACTTAAAAACATTAGGCTGCTTTTGTAGCAGACAGCCGTGTCCTTCGATCATTTATAACCCTTAATTTGACAATGTCTAATATATTATACGTTTGCTGAAAAAAATCTACAGCTTTTGCATTTAAAAACTACTAAATTTCGTGTGGAGTAAACTTTATGGCAGCATAATATTTATCACATAAAAGCTTTAGTACCTGGATGACCGAGCTTTCCTCGGTATTTTTTTTTTTTGGAAATCGTGTGTTTTGGAAATTATATTTAGATAAAAATTACATACTGATGAAACATGAATAATATTTTTTGATCTTGTTGACATAATAAAAAAAAACTAAACTGGTTATTTGAATAAAAAACCATGAGTGCAATTAGTTTAATTAAAATTTTCGTATTTTAAAAAAATACTGAAAAAAAGGGCTCTAAAAATAGATTTTCTCACAAAAGAAGGGAACTTCAATAAAAAACTCATAAAACAAGAACGACTTATTATCACCCGCAATTTGATGGAATGGTAGAACGATTTAATCAGACATTGGAGAGGTACCTAGCAAAAGTTGTAGACAATCGGCAACGAGATTGGGACAAGCACATACAACCGTTTTTGTTGTCATATCGAAGCGCTGTTCACGAAAGTACAGCAGTGACACCAGCTTTCGCAAACTTTGGAAGAGAATTACGACTGCCTGCGGACCTGATCACCGGGATACCACCTGATGCCCCACGCAGTATAACCGATTATGCAAATGACTTGCGGAACAAAATGAATGACATTTATGAGCACGTCAGACAATCGGGCCAGCAAACGTCCGAAAAGATGAAAACCCGGTATGACCGCAAAATGAACAACAAAGGGTTCGACGAAGGTTCACTAGTGTGGTTGCACAATCCAGTCCGCAGCAAAGGGAAATCTCCTAAGCTTCAAGCTAAATGGGATGGCCCGTACCGGATTGTGACCAGGATAAACGATGTAACCTACCGGATACAGAAAGGCGCAAGAGGGACTCCTAAGATCGTCCATGTGGATCGCCTGACGCGTTATTATGGGGCCGATAATGCTAAGGACGAGCATGTCTTAGGAGGGGGCAGTGTTGCGCGCCTAAGTTGAAGTCTGGCACTAGGGCCATCTAGTGTCGGGTAACAGAGCGAGGAGAGCTTTCCAGAAAACGAAATGACTAATCTTTCAACCAACAGCGCCATCTTGTATCGAATTGAAGAATTGGAAGAAGAACTTAAAGAATTGACAACGAACAAGGAAGTAAAAATCAAATTCAAAATTGGCTACTAAGAAGTTCGGCTACAAAAGTCAATTCCGAAGTTGTACCCTGGATTGTGGTCGATAGTTCAACGATTTTGATAGCATTCCCATCGTCATATTATTGTTAACGTGAATTTAGCGCCATGACATCGAAGTTTTAGATGTGTATGAAAAATTGGGGGCGCTGAAAAATAATTTATTTTCAAAAGGGGTGGTAAAAGAAATAAGTTTGATAATCTCTGAGTTAGAGTGACAATGATAAGAAAGAGGGAGGAAATCGATAGATGCGGGTGGCACAGTACCGTGCTTCACGACATTCCTTGCGGGAGACCTATATTTAGCAGTGAGCTTGTGAAAGGCTGTATTGATGATGATGATGATGATAATAGACGACCATCAATGTAATATTGTAAAAAGAACTGTAAAAAAATGGGATCAGACTAGATTGTATTATTACAGATTCTTTGTATTTATGTAATTAAAAAAAACAGCAGTTTTGATCTGCTTCTGCTTTTGAGGAGTTTGGAGGGAACTTGACCGACACCGGACTGTCGCTCCTGTTTTATCGCTTGAATAATGGTTTGAAGTGGATTTTAATTCGTAAATGTGACGTGATTTTGTGAATTAATTGTCTGCGCGTGTGAAATATTAGAGAAAACGACGAAACAAGTGCTTTGATGTCGATATAAGCCTCAAGTTATTTTGATCGCTTAGGAGCCTTATGAACTTGAGTGGCTGTCATCATCAACTGTCCGCTGGGTTGAGCTGTCGTCAAAATTTTCCAAGGGCTTCGCAATGTGATGCATCAGCATATTATGAAGAAAAGGAAAAAGAAGCGCGGGAACTTTGAAACTGGACTGATAAATCTTGTGGTGAATGATTGAAACTTATAAAGATTATAATATAAAGAAGACTTGGCTTTAGCCTTTGTGGTTTTTGAAAATATGAAAAATTAAACAAAATAAGACTTGGCATCGGCCTTTATGGATTTTGAAGAGATGGAAAGAAGAAAAATAAGACTTGGTTCCGGCCTTTACACTTCAAAATTCTATATATTTAAATTTAAAAAAAAAGACATGATTGGCTGTATGGCTTGGTTTCTTTGCCTGCTCTCTCGAGCGAATAATAAAAACAATTCTGCTTTTGACAGTTGCAGTTGCAACTTGCGCATATAGAGAGAATATAACAACCAAATAAGAAGTATTACCGTAAATAACACAGAACATTAATACCCTAAGGAATATAATCACTATACAATACGTTGCTTGCACAGAACGGCATAGAGAGTAAAGATCAGTAAAGTCAAAGATACAGCGAAAGCGAAAAAGGCGGGACAGATAAACTTGTAGTTAAATCACTACCGTATCTTAGAATTAGAACCTGTACCTAGTAATAATAATATATAATATAAGTAATAATAGCCTTTTCTTTAATTCATTGAATCACAAACAATATATTATTTTATTTATGATGTGTTATAAAAAGTGTCAAAGTTCTTTTCACGGGAAAATAAGTGAAATTCCGGGTAAGTAAATTTACAAGTTTTTTAGTAGGTTTTGTATTTTGCTATTTTTTCTATTTAATACCTAAAATTTATCTGCTACCTTTGTGTTTAAATCTCAAACGATATTTGTTGTTCAGGATTGGACAGGTTTGACACTTAAACATGTTTTTACAGAAAGTTACAGCCTATTTATACAATGTTTCCTTAAAGTTTTGGTAGTTGCGGACTAGTTTAAAATTTTTACATTTCACAAGGACCCTTTTCAAACTGGATTGAAGTAAAATAAAATAAAACTTATTATTTAATTTATCTGGTATCTGAAAGATAATAACTTGTGTTTCAATCTGATTGTTAGTAAGAAGGTTGCCGCTGCTTACAGTGTGTAAGAATGTTAAATCGAATTGGTTTTGATAATGCAAAGCAGGTGTCATTTGCCACGTACCATTTATTATAATTTTTTGCTTCTATTGACACTAAAACTCATACCCTGATTCACAGAGATATGTCGCTGCAAACAAAATTAAAGAGAGACATTGTTTGTTTCCCTGGTTGACCTGGGTTCGATCCCCGCCAGCACCAATGAAATTGTTAATTGCAATTTTAATAAGGCAAGGGTGAGTTTGTCCTAAAGAACTACAAAAGTTGCAAAGTTGCATTGAATTCAGTTTGCAATACCTCTTTGGATTTCAAGTCTATGAGAACTTCATTATTGATATTAAACCAATCATTCATCAGAATTATAAAAAGATTTAAAAAAAGTGGTTCTTTTGGACACCGACATTGTATTTGTGTCTGCTGAGCTTTTCTATTTAATTAACATTTTCATGCTGATATTGGCGAATTATTAAAAGCATCACAAAAAATAAGGAGAAAATGATGAATATCAAACAAAAATTGATTCTGCACCCAAGTTTCTTGATTAAGGTGTTCTGAGCAAAAGATACCTTCAACAGAGTAGTTTCATATTTTTGATGCTTTCACAATTCTATTCATACATATTTTGATTAACCTTTAATATTTTCATTGGTAGGCAGTTTTAATTACACAATAAACAAAAATTTCCAACATTATCTGCATATCCACCACTCCAATCATCAGCAGAGGCAGACCACCTTATAACCAGTTTAACCGTTCAGTTATGGTTGTGACTGTAGGATCTTGAAGAGGCAGGTCATCAAAATCATATATACATTATATGTTGGTCTAGTAGTTGTAGTAGTGCGACTGCTGAGCATGAGGTCTTGGGTTCGAATCCCGGGTCGGGCCAAAAAAATCAATTATTGAGTTTTTCTGTCAAGAAATTCTCAGTAGCTGCCCGGAGTCAGGAAGTTGACGGTGTCTCAACCCCGTGCCTCGGAAGGCACGTAAAGCCGTTGTTCCTGCGCCTGATCTCTCTCCCGGTCATGTCGGTTTACCGTACCATTGGATTACGAGAGTGCACCTGTGCTTGCGCATACACTTGGGCACTATAATCCTGTCCTGCGCCGATGGCTAGTCTCCCTTGAGGCAGGCTGCCGTGACGGAAATTCGGTCTGGAAGACATTATTAACTCATGGTCCTGAGCCATATGCTTCCATCAACTTTTTTTATATTATAATAAAGTGTCAAACAAACTTACATTCCTTTTAACCTTTTGAGCGCCAAAGTCGTCTATACGTGACCAGCACCCGCGGGCCCTGAGCGCCAACGACGTCTATAGTTGACAAAAAACCCGGCCCACAAAAATATGAAATATAGACATTGGAAAATTATTACTGGTATTTTAATTCTACACCCCTCAAAAACGAATAACCCAGCAACATGTGAGTATAAAAAACAAGTCTCCTAGAGCCACAAGTTCTAAGAAATATTGAACTAAAAAAAATGGATTTTTATCTAAGCAAATACTATGTCCAGCACGCCAAAGTTGTCTATGTTTGACCGCTAGTGTTGTAATGCGTTAGGCATAAATTTATTGAAAACTATTCAAAATTAAGCTCAAACATGTTTTTTTTTGTCTATTATTATTGATATTTAAATAAAACAAAAGGTTAGAAATATAAAACTATAATTAGCTACATGAATAAAAAAAAATTATCAAATTATCTTCGCATAATAAATCTAATATCTCAACTCTGGCGCATCCTTAGCGCGACATCGAAAATCAGTTCACTGGGCGCCGTGGTCAGTATAGACGACACGCTGATGACGTCATAAGCGATTAGCGGGAAAATTAGTGCAGTGCAACATGAACGATTCCTCAGAACTCATTCGGATTTTGGAAAGCGTCGACGATGATGAATTTTCGGAATCTGAATCATTACCTGAAGATTTAAGTGAGGTAAGTGTCTTAAATTCCTAATAAATTAAACTTATTTTACTAACATGCATATTGCCTATTTTGTTTAATTTATTATATTTTGTTTAATTTTAAATATAATAAGTTCGATACTAAATGAAACTGTTTCCCGGGCGACTCTTGTGAGCACATTTTTTATGTTTTTGTTTTCGAGTTTAGAATAACTCATCCTGTTCGTTTTCTTTTATACTGCAACTAGTAGATATTTTTTTCTGTCAAAAAGCTAATGGTAATATTGTTTAGCGAAATAAATATCTTAAACCATATTTCACAATAATCCTTCCGAAAAGTAGGTACCGTGAGTAGACCATAAATCATAAATCAACCTAATGAAAAAGCATTAAGGTCCAAAATAGTATATCGACTTTCTACCTTTCGGAATTACAATCGTTTCGAATAGTATTGTGAGTAGACTAAAAATCAATGTAATGTTAAAACATTAAGATCTAAAATAGCGTGTCACTTAGTACTAAATTGCTCTTTTGTTCTCGGCGGCGACGTTCTTTTTTTGTTACTAACACTTTCGCGTCTTACAGTAATCAAATGCTTTCTCACACATACAATCTACAATGATAATAATTACATACATTTTTCTTCATGACAAGTTTTCTCGTGAATTGTATTTTTTTTAATCAAAATATTGTATTTTTACAGAGACATGTATTATGACTGGGGTCTTCATCAATTGGACACTTTAGTTGAGAGAGTTGAGTACGATGACAACCATTTTAAATCACTTACACGGTTTGGATATCATGCACTTCATCATTATTTTCCAACGTTGGATCATGCAGAACTGAAATATCTTTATCCTACCTTTCTAGAGCACTGCGAGAAATTTGGAGTTGAATTTCGAACATCCACATATTATAAATCGTTTATCAGTCATAGTAAGCAATTTTAAGGAAACGCTTCAACAATTTTAAAGAAAGAAAAACTTTGTACGTTAAATAGACACGCTATAACTTAACGTACAGAAAACACTTCTGACCATACTCTAATAAATGACTTTGGATATTATTTTTCGATGACTAATAAATTAGGATTTTGAACTTGAATTAAAATATTTTTATTATACGTATTTATAAGGTAAAATATGTATGTTTAAAAAAAATTAAAATTATTCATTAATTGTATTAAGTTTTGACTAGTAGGTCTATTGGTAGCGTTTAATTTTGTGAATTAAGAATATAAATTACTATCCTCGATTACGAATCAAAATGCAGATGCGCTCTCACCCGTGAGGACTTAGATGGAATGCCTCGTTTCCAGTAAAGAGGGTCTCCGGTTCTCTACACTTACCATACGAAACACAGCAGCATTAAGCTACTATTTGACGCCGGTATTCCGTGAGAGCGTGGTTCAACCGGGTTGAGCCGACCCATTCCTGCTACAACTACTCTCCCGTAATATAACTACAGCATGGCTCTACCACGTTAAAAATTTGCTTTGGCCAGCTAAACATTTATGTTTTATTATTCCATACGATTTTTATTATTTTAAGACTAATATTACCTATAATTTATTAATTATTTTTAATTGTTGTTTTCTATATTAAGTACTGATTGAGTTAAAGACCAAGATTTTAATATTTTAAGACTAGACCTAGTGCAAATAATTATATACAATTGTTGATTAGTGAATAATTATGTACCATTTGTTGATTTCTGTAATAAGTCATTAAGACCAAGATTTTAATATTATAAGACTGATTTTTCTAGTGCGAATAATTATATACAATTGTTGATTGGTGGATAATTATGTACCATTTGTTGATTTTTATAATAATTACTGATTTTTTATTCCATGACCAAGATTTTAATATTATAAGACTGATTTTCCTAGTGCGAATAATTACCTATATACAATTGTTGATTAGTGAATAATTATGTACCTTTTTTATTTTAATAATATAAAATTACAAATAATAAATGTGTTTTCTTTACTTAAGGTATGAAGAGCAATTTTTCATTTTGTGTTGTGCGATTTTCTTTCTCAATCTCAAAATCATTTAGCAACATCAGCATCATATGAAACCCCCATTGTCATAAGAGCGTGACTTTTCTTCTGTGATTCACTTGGCCTACGCCTCGCCATAAAATATTTTGAATCGATGTCTGTATATTTTGGTTAGAAATCGATACACAACGTGCGACACGGCTACATCTCTAAGAAAGTTTCAAAAGGAAAGGTCAGCTACGCCGTTGTCGTCCAATCGTGACAGTGACGTCATCACGATGGAGAGTAGTGTTGTGGTTTACTACTATTTTATTGTTATTGTTTGTTTTTTATATATGTACAAAATACATATATAAAAAGAGTGGATGACAGCACAAGATTAAATAAAACATACCCGATTATAAAGAGTCATTTATTGTATAAAAAACCAACAAAAACCAGTTATTTTGTGTTATCGATATATCAACTCTTGGCAGCACTGTTTTTTCGTAGGTATTTTTGTTTACTTTTCGCTTTGGCGTACAGGACACGGTAGTGAGTTTTTGGCGTGGCGCTCAAAAGGTTAATGGTGGTGTTAAGTGCCTGTTAAGTGCCATGGTCATCTGCAGTCAAATTCGGACAAAGAAGGCCACAAAGGCATTGTCACTTTTGGGACTAAGATGGAATGCCGTACAGCCTGTAATTATACTGGCGCTCTACATCCTTTATACCGGATCCAAGCTGCTATTTGACGGTAGAAATAGGTACAATGGTGAGCAACATCCAGCGTAGTGCTTCCAATAGGCATGTGTCAATCATGAATGATTGGTTCCTATGAGCTGGTACACTTAAAAGTATTGACAATTCATTCATCTGTTTTTGAATGTTCCGGTACAACCAATCACAAACAATTGACAGAACCTTTTTAACTTGTGATTGGTGTGAATTGTGAATCAGTAGAAAACTGACCGATCCTCGAATGATTTGAATTAATTATTTTTATTGTAGGGTGTTGGAGCCTGAAATGATCCATTTGAATGATCAATCTGAATGTACTGGTATGCGTGAAGAAATGTACTAGAATGATTCTGTCACGAGAAATGAATGATTGACATATGTCTAGCTTCCAACAACTAAAATCATCGGTGTGACATGGACACTGTATAATACGGTCTTTGTTTTGTCCATTTTCACTTTAAGAGTTATCTATTGGAATACACTGGAGGTCATTGGTCCTCTACCAATTCTACCATATAGACTATATTATCTGCAAATTGAAGAAAAATAATATCAATACCATATCTTTTTCACTCCAGTAGCTTGAAAATATCTTCCAATGCAACTGTGAAGTATTTCCAGCACATAACATCACCCTGCTTTACATATATTTGCTTTTGATCTCTGCATAGTTATTGTACAATATAATTTTATTTTCAGGAATATCTGTGGATAATTTTACTGGAAAGAATGCTACATCAAGAGCTTACTTCTTAAGCCATTTTCATGCTGACCATATTCAAGGTCTTGATGAGCCCTGCTTACTAGAACATTTGAAGAAAACTAATGTATTTATCTATACAACAGAAGTCACATTAACCGTCATGAGACATGAATTTGGGGATATAGAACTTCTTGAATATGTAAAAGGATTAAATAAAGGTAAGCAAATAAGTATACATTGGTATTTATATTAAAAAAGAGAAATTACCCATTTCATCCCGAGGGTGTGTAAGAAGCGACCATGGGATAAGCCAAAGAGATCTCATGGCTGGAATAGATGGTGGTATAATCAACTCTTACGCCAGACATAAAATACCCAGAACTTCAATGGCAGCAGTGCTACAGGTTTGAGATATCTGCAGCTGATAATAAGCATTAAGCAATTGACATGGAATTATATAATAAATAAAAATCTTGATTATTTAACCTAAATCTAGCATAAATGAGCACACAGTTCACCTGATGGTAAGTGGATGCTGTGGCCCATAGATATCTACATGTATCCTCTATTAAGAATCAAAATACACATGCATTGTCACCCCTGAGGATTAAGATGGAATGGTTCGTTTTTCGAATGTTTCGTTTCCTTTTAATATCATCCTCTTGTGTATTTTTAGTCAACACGTAATATTGGTTGTGTAAGAATAGCTACTACTTCATATCCTTCCATAGGTGTCGTAAGAGTTAGTGCCGGATTAAACAAGTGCGGGGTCCGTAGCAAATTCTAGAATTTCTACAGGTTTTTAAGTATAGACTGGTAAAAAAACAATTCAATATTCAATATGTTTGTTTGCCATCTATAACTCGTACGAATTAACTTGAGACCTGGGCCGATGACGTAATTGTCAATGTACGGTGTGCAAAATAATGCGTCGTAATATTTTTTTTATTTTTATTTTTTATTTATTTTTATTTGAAATTTTTGAGATTTGCATGAGATTATTAATAAAAACAAAATAAAATGTTCTGGCAAGGGGTGAAGTAATAAGTGATATACTGTTGCCATTTTATATATTTTAAATATTTATTTTTTATAATATATATAATATTATTTTTGTAAGGAAGGAAAAGAAAAACATACACACTTTCTCATTTATAATATTATTAATTTATTTATTATACACTTTATTGCACTATAAAAAGTGTTACAGATTCGTACACAATAAAAATACAAGCATAACAGGCGACCTTATTGCTAAAAAGCAATCTCTCCCAGGCAACCTTAAGTCAAAACCAAACAACAAACAATTATCAAAAATATCGAACTAGAGTCGAGACGCGTATCCGTAACAAAAATGCTATCGGTACTGAGCGCGCACGGCCAGCGCGGGACGCGGTGCGGGGAGTCGGGAAGGGGGTCGCATTCCAGCGGAGTCTCAAGTTAATTCGTACGTGTTGTAAAGTTTACAATTTTGATGACGTTTAATAGTACAGTAGATTAGGCACTGTTAGATGTTAGAAGATGAGAGAAGAGAATAGTTCCAATCCCAATGTAGAATGGTAATTACTAATTATTATTTTGTTACGGCATCAGCATTACGTTACGGGTAGTCAAGTCGAAAGTGAGTTTTCTGCAAAAAATCAAATTTTTTTTCTTGAAATCAAAATTTTAATTTCTTATTGACAGAAAAAGAAAACAAATGTAAGGAGCTCAGCTTTTTCCAGTTTGTAAATAACTCAATAACTGAAAGGGTTTCGAAAATCGAAAGAAATATCCTCAAAGAGGAAGAAATATCCTCAAATTTATTAATGTAATGTGTTAATAAAGTCTTGACTCCTGAAACTTTTAACTCCATAAGCAACCATTTTTATTTAATTCTGAAAAAAGGGTTCTGCGTGGCTAATGTCGCACGGTCGCGTCGACGCTTATTACCATTAAATCACTTCGTGCAGATCTCCGGTGGTAGTCGATTCCACAAGGAAATTGTGCGAGAAAGAAAACTTCTTGTAAATCGCACAGTGGCGGACCACCAATCATCCAGATGGTATGGATGGTATCGCGAGTTTTATCGCGATGGGCGATGGTGAAATTGAGCGGTTGGAATTAAGCCGAATAATTGTTAGAGCACTCCCCGTGGTAGATGTGATAAAATACGCAAAGAGATGCAACATTTCTTCGTCAGTTCAATAGTCCCAGTGAGTCAAGTCAATCAGAAAGAGCTCGGTCGCCGACAATTCGCCTAGCTGGCACTGGGGAGCCCCAGCCCAGGGATTGGAATAGTATTCCATCTGAGGCCCAATCTGTGTCTTGTGAAGTTGCAGGCAATATGCCACTCTGCTGTGCATAAAGCTTTTTAGAGGCCAATTTGAGCTTTTTTCCCACGAGACCACGAAATATACGTCATTCGATGTCGACGCCGAGGATTCCGATAGTGACTGAGGCAACAATGGGAGCGAAATTCTATGTTTTGTTTTTGCTTACGAAATAATCGGCTACCAAAGATCTGTCGTGGATTATCTTGGTCGGAAAAGGTGTAACACGTTTCAAGTTTATTGACATCAAGGAAATTCAATATACCACGTCTTAATAAGTTTCACTCAAAAAATTATGCTCAGGCAGAGGTTTGGTTTGGATCATAGAATACTATAATACATACATAATAGAACGGAGGAGTGGGCGGAGCCCGTGTAGCCACTAAAATGTCACTAACATGTCAATTTTTTTGTGTTTTTTTTTTCTTAAAAAAATATTAGTAATCCTATTAATTAATATTACTAATATTCCCTTTAACCACTCCTGGTAAGCTGAAAATGCTTGTGTTAGGAGTGGTTAACGACAGTAGTCGAATGGTGGATTCGAACCCGCGACCTTTTAAGTTCGCGGTCCGCGCCCTTTTTTTTTTTTTTAACGTGGGGAAATGCCTACGCATACCCGCCTCGCGGGGGCAAGGACGAGTTATGTCGGACTCGCACCGACTAAACCCCCATGGTGTTCCACCTTCGTCGCATATTGGCAGGGCTACGGGAACGCTTTCGCACACTTCCGCGGCCCTACCAGCGACTGCCGCCCCATGGCAGCACCTCCTCGGGAGAGGAATATTCCTCCCCGTTCTCCTTCCCAAGTAAGGCGCACCAGAACACATGGCACGCCTTCCTCCACGGCCTCCAATTACATCTGCGCAACAGACGCCCCCGCGTCCGATGCGCGAAGGCCATGAGGCCAGGAAAAACGAGCACTTAGAAGTACTAGCCTTCCCGACCCCAGCGGCGGATCTGGTCTATGGCTCCGCCGCCAACCAAGATTCGGCTGCGGAGGATAGGGAGAGCGGCGCCTCGCAATACCGACAATCCTCTCCCCCCGCAGCCCCATCACCACCGCATCAACGGTGCGGCCCCGTTTGAGTCGCGGAGGATAGGGCGAGTGGCGCATCGCCATACCAACACTCCTCTTCCTCTGCGACTCCACCTCGGCTGCAGCGGTAGAGGGTGCGGAGTCCCCACTCGCTGCAGTCCACCAGCACACATCCGAAGTGGGCTCCCCAAGCCCACTCGCAGTGGCCACCTCAGGCCGGCCCTTTACCTCGGGCCAGCCACGTGGGTTCCTCTTTGTTCACCGTGGGAGACCAAGCCACGGCTACTAAGCCCCCGCCACGACAAGGCGGGAACCCGTTCGGGGGGGGGGGGGGGGCGGTCCGCGCCCTGCCACTAGGATACTGTCGCTTAAATTCACACATATAAATGTCAACACGAGATGTGTTTTGACGTTACAATCGTTTCCAAATTTCTCATGCAAATTATTTAGAAAATGCCAAATTGCACACTATTTACAAATAAATATGTATTAGAAAATTTAAAAGACTTTTTTAATGATGGTCTTGAACATTAATCAAAAGTCTAAAATGTTTAAATTTACTCAGTCAGTCGACAAAGCGAATCGGGTTTGTAGTAGTGATAATACGACGTAATTGCTTATGTGTGTGCTTCCGGCGACGCCGACCCTCGTACAAAATAAGTTTGACAGCCATTCTATTGTGTATTACAGTATTCTATGGTTTGGATACGCGAGGCCACCTTTTGCGCGGGGCCTGTAGCAATTGCTACTCTTGTTTTGTGGTTAATCCGGCACTGGTAAGAGGTGAGAGAGAGAGAAACTGTAACTGGAGATGGGCTGCAGCATTTTTCATTCCTACGACTAATAGGCCATTGGGTGCGTTTGGCAGAAAAAAGCGCTAACAAGCGCTTACAAGCGCTGAAATAGTTTTCGGCCAGGACACGATTACTACTTCAGTAACGCTGACACAATCCGCCATTTTGCTTATTTAATTCGTTTGTTTTGAAGTAGAGTTTTTAAGTTGTTTTGTGCATAATGATTTCTTAAATTTACGCGAACACTACACATTGAATAAAACTAAATTTACGGACGCGATAAAATCCGTAAATTTAGTTTTATTCAATTGTTTTGTGCAATTTTAGTTTTAAGTAATATAATAACGTGAATAAACATATACATGTTATTAAAAATTCATGAATGGTAAGTTTTTAATATGAATAGTTTACAAACATATATTTAAATTAGGTTAGGTTCCCCGGGTAAAACTAACATTGTGTCCTGGAGGAAAATAGCTACTTACGATTTGACAGCGCTTACCGCTTACGATCGCCATTTTGCTTACAAGCGCTTGCTAGCGCTTTTTTCTGCCAAACGCACCCATTGAGGCAAAGTTTTTTTTGTTTTGATAGGATAGGATGACAAACCTGCACACAGTCCACCTGATGGTAAGTGATTGCTATGGCCCATAGACATCTACGTCTATCCTCGATTACGAATCAAAAATGCAGATGCATTGTCACCTGTGAAGATGGAATGCCTCGTTCCCAGTAAAAAGGGTCTCCGGTGCTCTACACTCACCATACGAAACACAGCAGCATTAAGCTACTATTTGACGCTGGTATTCTGTGAGAGCGTGGTCCTGGTTGAGCCGACCCATTAGTGCTACAACTATACTACTAATATAACTGCAGCATGGCTCTACCATGTATAAAATTATATATAAAATATATTATTAGTAGTAGTATAAATAGTTATAAAATTTCTTTAATGAACAGGTCCATTAATCATGTATTTTTTAAAGTGACAAAGAATCTCTTTCAGAATCCAAACTGATAACACTACCCAGTGTTCCGGAAGACGATTTGGACGAAATGTTTGTGGAGGTGACACTAATTCCTGCAGGGCATTGCATGGGATCTACCATGTTTCTCTTTAAGACCACAAAGAAAACTATTTTATACACAGGCGATTTCCGTATAAGGTTGGTCAACAAAATAATCCTGTTTCTTGTTCTTCTCTATGCTTTATTAAGTACATATTTATTATTTATGCTATATATAAATGGTAGATATGAAAAGGATATAAAGTGAATGCACAGAGTGAATCTGTTATAGTAGTTGAGGGGGCCTCTTCACTTTATTCTAAAGGTCAAAATGTTTTTAACGGCTTCGTGGCGCAGTAGCTTATCATTGATTTGCGGCGCTGAGTGCCGTGGGTTCGAATCCCGCATGGATCAAGTATTTGTATGGCATACAAGTAATTGTTCTGGGTCATCCCTGGATCAATTACTTGTAGGACATACAAATACTGGTGTTTGTGCTTGTGCAATTTATGTTTGTAAACTGCCTCCACAATATAGGAAAAAATTATAGTGTGCAGGTAACGTTTTATAAAATAAATTAAAAAATAATGTGTCAAAAGGCATGTATAATAATTTACAATACTGTATAAGTCCCTATCTTAATGTGTGGTAGTTAAAAGCAGGTGTGTCAGAAAAGCATGAGAATAAAATGGTTAAGAAGTACGATACGTACGGTGTTATTCTAAATGATAGGGAGCGAAATGGTGTGATAAGAGAAAAGCGTAGTTTGTAAGATGTGAGGAATGCTTCGGTGGATTTTACACAAAGAAGAAAGAGTGGCAAAGCAAATCTATTTTATAAAAGGGACTGGCTGTGTTGGCAAGGGACGCCCTAGAATGAACTTTATTTACCGAATTAGCTTACTACCGAGCATATATGCTTAGATATGTGTTATTGTGCCAAATTGGGTGACAGGCTACGGAAGCTACTTATAATATAATAGTACACTAGCCTAGGTCTGCATGTCTGAGAAAGAAGAAAAAAAATATTTCGAAGACATGTGAAGTTCGCAAACACGCATTGGGGCAGCGCGGCGGACAATTCCTTGCCCTAAAACCCCCTCAGAAATGGGCGGAGGCCTGTGCCCAGTGATGGGACGTATATAGGCTGTAACTTTAACTTTAACTAGGCAGGTGACTACGTTTATGTCTTTCATTTTCTACGCTGTTCTCCGCTACTGGTCTTGGTAGTCTATGTCCGGTTTTCTCAATAAACGTCTTTTATGATGATATGGAGTAATTGATTCTCCTGCGATGTCCGCAAACACCACATGGCTGTGAGGGTTAATAATATTACGTTCACCAGATGTCGCTAGTTAGCACTGAGGTGAAGTTACTTGTTACCTACATAGTCACACAGTGTCATTATCATTGAAAAGTTACTTTTTAAACAATAGTTTTTCGATTTCTAGTGTATATGTATACACAAAACAATGCTTCAGTCAGTTATTTAATTTATTACACATTTTGTACATTTCAAGCTATTGCATAGCTTCTATCGCGGGCCTTGAGCGCGGGGACCGAATCCAGAAATTCCGTAACGAAAAAAAACCTCACGCTCCCCACTCCGACGGGTACGGAGGTGTGGCGTTGAAAGCCGTGCATCGTCTAACGTCGTTTCAGTTCGGCAGACTTCGGCACGGTGTTTGTGTGCGTGCGACTAGACGTATGCGTGTACACTAGCTACTAACTCAATGATAAAAATTCCTGAATAACCTACATGTATTGTAAGATATTAAAAATATTTTAAACAATATTAACTTCTCATTTATTCAATAAGAGAAAAAAAATTGTTTTCTTATCGGTCACCACGCTCAAAAGGTGTAATTTATTTAATATCAAAGACTTAACTGCATAAATAAAATAAATAAATAATTATAATTGCATAAGTTGATAAAAAATGCTATGCAATAGCTTTACCGCGGCAGTCACCGAGTGCCACACGTAATTTTTTATTTTTCTACGTGATAGAACCACGCTGTAGCTTTATTATAGTTGTAGCACGAATGGGTCGGCTCGACCGGGGAAGGTCCACGCTTCCACAGAATACCAGCGTAAAATAGCAACTTAATACTGCTGTGTTTCGTACGGTGAGTAGAGATCCGGAGACCCTATTTACTGGAAACGAGGCATTCCATCTTAGTCCTCAGGGGTGACAACGCATCTGCGTTTTGATTCTTAATCGAGGATAAATATAGATGTCTATGGACCACAGCATCCACTTACTCGTTTCTCACCCTTATACTATTAAAAAAAACTTCTTATCTATAGTTTGGCTTATTAGTTTGTAACCTAATTAATATAAGATTTGACTTACGTTTCAGAAAGAACCATCGGTCTCTACACTTTTCGAACAAATTAGCCATGAAATCTGTCAAATATTTCACCTTATTCCAAAGTGGCGCCGACATTATTGAGATTGATATCATTATGAAATAACAAAGTAGAAGACCTGACTCCCGAACTACCATTTACTATGTGGCCCATTACGAATCACAGTAGCAAAAGTAATAAATAACTATTACATATGAAAAAAATGCATGCGTATGCTTGCGCTCATGCTATGCGTGCGTGCATGCGTGTGCATGCGTGTGTTATTTGCAGTTTTTTTACGTAATCATCGTAATACACACGATCGTCAGTTAAGGGTTTTTTTCATAGAATAAGGGTGACAAACGAGTACACAGTCCAATTGCTGCTAAGTGGATACCGTGCCCCATAGACATCTGCATCTATCCTCGATTAAGAATCATAATGCAGATGCGTTATCACCCCTGAGAACTACGATGGAATGTCTACTTTCCAGTAAAAAGGGGCTCCGGTGCTCTATACTCGCCATATGAAATACAGCAGCCTTAAGTTGCTATTGTACGCTGATTTAAGTTGGTCATAACCATCGGATTATTTTCTTTTCAATGGCTTCACGTGATAAGCACGTAAGGACGTTGCTTTTTTATAGGATAGGGTGACAAACGAGCACACAGTCCACCTGATGGTAAGTGGTTGCTGCGGCCGAAAGACTACTACATCTATCCTCGATTACGAATCAAACGCAGATGCGTTGTCACCCGTGAGGACTAAGATGGAATGCCTCGTTTCCAGTAAAAAGGGTCTCCGGTTCTCTACACTCACCATACGAAACACAGCAGCATTATGATACTATTTCGTGCTCGTATTCTGTGAGAGCGTGGTCCTTCCCCAGTCGAGCCGACCCATTTGTGCTACAACTATACTACTACTATAACTGCAGCATGGATCTACCACGTATAATCCTGTGCTGGATCTTTCTCTGGTCATGTCGTATTACCGTACTATCGGATTATGAGAGCGAGGGAATAGTGTATTGCATACTATACACTATGATCCTGAAGATATTGTTATTTTCTGATGGTGATATCAAATTTTTCTGATTGCAGAATTAATGATATACCAAAATACGCAAAACTACACGAGCGAAACGGCGACCCGATAAACATCGACGCGATGTATGTGGACACGACCTTTATCAAGGAGGAATTCGAGGATTTTCCAAAGAGAAGTGAAACAGTTGATACTGTTATCTTTGAAATCAATAGATGGCTGAAGACCAGTGCGAAATATGCAGTGGCTATATATATGCCCGCCAATTTTACATATGAATTTATCTTCAACCAAATACAAAAGAGATTAAATACAAAAGTATATGTCAATGATAAGAAGTGGAGGTTGTATAGGTGGGAAAAAGTTTTAATTATAGATTAGGGGTGACATACGAGCACACAGTCCGCCTGATGGTAAATGGATGCTGAGACCCTTATGTATTTACATCTATCCTTAATTAAGAGTCAAAATGGAGATGCGTTGTTACCACTGACGACTAAGATGGAGTGCCTCGTTGCCAGTAAAAAGGGTCTCTGGTTTTAGACACTCACCATGCGAAATACAGCAGCATTAAGCTGCTATTTTACGCTGGTATTCTGGGAGAGTGTGGTCCCCGGTCGAGCCGACCAATTCGTGCTACAACTATATAGCTCTACCACAAAAAAGTGGTAACTCTTAGGTGACTCCATAGTCGTGATGTGATTTCTGGCTTTGCTTAACTTTGTGTGGGTTTAAACAAACGCGGGGCCTAGTCTGTGTCCAAAAAATTTACTATTCATCCTCGATCAGAATAACCCTGTAGGGGCGGTGTAAGAATATCAACTAGTCCGTACCAATCCGCGGCTGTCGTAAGAGGCGTCATAGGAAAGCAGAACAAGGAGGCCATCTATATATACAAGGTGTAAGTGTAAACACCGTTGTCACTAAAACCACAGGTAGTTGGCTTTAATATAAAAATATTTATCCGAATTTAAAAAAAAAAACGCTATTTTCTTTCATAAAATTTAAAAAGTTTCTGTCCGTCACCGTCCGTAAATCCATGGATACCCTATGCGCCCGAGTGACGTAATCACTGTAAAGATCACCGCCCGCGCGTTCAAGGATAACGGTGTATACACTAACACGCTGTATATACATATACATAAACACTCACGCCTGTCACCCAGAGGGGTAGGCAGAGACTACGGACTTCCATTTGGCACGATCCTGACATACCTCTTTCGCCTCCTTTACATCCATATATCTACGCATACATGCTCGTCGGTTAAGGGTACTTCTAACGTGGCCCCTTTTCCAAATATCGCCAATTTGGTCGATAAACTTTTTTCTAGGGACGTCCCTTCCCGACTCGGCCGTTCACATCTGCCATATAAATTTGCTTTGTCACTCTTTCCTCATTCATTCTTTCTACATGACCAAACCACCGAAGCATTCCTTTCTTAATCCTGGTCACAACATCATCTTGCATACCACATTTATCTCTTATCATGCAATTTATCACCCTGCCATTCAGATTCAACCCTAGCATACTCCTTAAAGACCGCATTTCTACAGCATTTATTCTACTTTCGTGCTTCTTCTGCCACACCCAGCTTTCACTACCGTACATTAAAGTAGGGACTAACACAGCATTATGAATTACCATATATATATATATATTTTTTTTTTGGGTATATATAATATAATATATAAAGGTGGTCGCTTCCCAAGTGTGGCAACTATGGTAATTGTTGCCCCTATTAGGCTATCTATGGTGGAGGTGTACGTTCAGTAGTGGATTTTTTCACATTTGGATTACATTGGGTTTGGGAAAGAGCCGAGAGAGCAAATATGTCTTACGGAATCAGTAATTTCAGATAACATTCAGAAGTTGGTTTAGTCCCAATCAGCCAAGTGTATTCTACATCTGACTATTACTAAGCATGTCTTAGTGTTTCATCATCACCATCAAGGCCATAGTCAAGTACATGCTAACCGATCATACAATCATTTGACGGCTCCGTGGCCCATTGGCTTAGCAATGAGTTGCAGCGCTGGGGGCCGAGGGTTCGAATCCCGCACGGAGCAAGTATTTGTATGGCCCAAAAATAATTATTCTGAGTCTTGATGTTGTCCTTGATCAATTTATGTTTGGAATCTGCCTCCACGATTCATGAAAAAAGTGGGTGAAGTAAAAAAAAAGGAGATACAAAAAGATAATAAGCCTACCCTCGTAAATGTCACAAAATACGGTTAAACAAAGATTTGCTGGCCATACAAATACATACTATGCGATTCAAATAAGAATAGAACTGACCTGGCGCCATATTGTGACGTCATAGCTGTCAATTCAAACCAGTTAGGTAGGGTGAGCAAAACAGATATTATACAGATTAAATAATATTCATCTGAATCTAGCATTTCAATTTCGCTTATCTCTGCGTCACTGTCTAAGTAGTCATCATTGTCATCATTATCATCACTGCTGTTTTCTCATATAAAATAGATTGTGAATTTATATAGGTATGTAAAATATTACACCGACTAGTATCAATATTTTTTATAAAAATAATTATGCGTTCAATAGATTTGTTAATATTAAGACTTAGTTAAATGAAGCGAAAAAAATCGTTAACCCTTCAGCCCCTACGCGGTCGAATTCGACCGCGGCGCTATTCCGTCAATATTCAAGCGGTCGAATTCGACCGCGCACACCCACAACACTTTAAACCATTAAAACTTATATTTGGAGACTACTTTTCTATGAAGAAGTTTGGCATTATAGAATCAATATGAAATTTTCTATCCTCTAGTACAATATAAAATAGTTATGCTATGGATATTTATTTATAATCTACATTTATTTCATACGCCATTTTTGCGTGAATGTTATTGTGTTAATTTTTGGATTTTTTTTGTGTTTTATTAGTGTTTTAGTATAGTGTTTTATTATAAAATTGTAATGAAAGTTTTTGTGTGAATATAATTTATCTTCTTACGTAAATAATTTCGAGTAATATATATTGAAATAATTGTGATTTTCACGCTGCCGACATTCGCTTGGTATGTTTTGTTTTTGTTATCAAAATACAATAGTATTTTTGTAATGAATTGAAACTTGAGTTTTATATTGAGAATTTTGTAAAGATTTTATAATGCCAAACTTCTTCATAGAAAATTAGTCTCCAAATATAAGTTTTAATGGTTTTAAGTGCTGCGGGTGGGTGCCGTCGCAATCGATCGCTCGGCATTTGCCGGGCGCATGCGACTGCAGTAGAATTGTAAGGGGACTGAGGGGTTAGTACGCGAATTAATTTTTATTGCAACCCGTACTTTTCACTGTTCTGACTGTACTTTCACTGATTGTAACAGTCACTTACTGTTGACAGATCGCAGTCATTCGAGGGCATTGACGTTCCTATCCTTATTTGTACCGCATTGTACCAAAAATTGACAACGAACATACTCTTAACTTCAAATTTAAGACCTATACTTATAATGGGTGCGTTTGGCAGAAAAAAGCGCTAGCAAGCGCTTGTAAGCAAAATGGCGATCGTAAGCGGTAAGCGCTGTCAAATCGTAAGTAGCTATTTTCCTCTAGGACACGATGTTAGTTTTAGGAACCTAACCTAATTTAAATATATGTTTGTAAAGTATTCATATTAAAAATTTACCAATCATGAATTTTTAACAACATGTATATGTCTATTCATGTCATTATATTACTTAAAACTAATATTGCACAAAACAACTTTTAAACTCTACTTCAAAACAAACAAATTAAATAAGCAAAATGGCGGATTATGTCAGCGCTACTGAAGTAGCAATCGTGTCCTGGCCGAAAACTATTTTAGCGCTTGTAAGCGCTTTTTTCTGCCAAACGCACCCAATGTGTTGTTGTTTAATTAATTTTTTTTTCTATAGCACAATACCGGAGCTTGTTCCTGGTATAACAAACGATGACAGTGAGACCCGGATACACCTGTGCGCGTCCAGATCCGAGCGAAACTCGCATCCGTCGTGCGTGAGACAGGATTATGAGAAATACCTCTTTGTTTATCTCACCGCCATGAAGTGGGATAACTATAATGTCGATTCTACACCCGTGAACCGGGTAACTCCCACCAGAATAGACGCTTGCTTTGCCACACACTGTTCACGGCGGGAGGTAGTGAGTTTTGTCAGTTATTTTAAGCCGGTGAAAGTGGAAGGATTCCCTAACGGTTATGTGGCTGCAACGCCAATTAAGAAAAGTATTGATGAATTTGTGCTTTCACCCAAAGATAGAAGCCCTTCCGGTGTTAAAAGAAAGTATTCTACGACTGCCGACAAACACAATATGAAGAATGTTACGAAGAAGATTTTTTGACGAAAACTAACATGCCTATTGACTTGAGAAGTCCTCCACGTATCTTCCAAAAGTTTGTGCACTTAATGCTTTATGAACTTATTTGTTAAGTTCCATTTTTGTCTCTGGTGGGATCTCTAAGTTCTTCAGAGTTTGTACTTAGAATTTCTAGTTATCGTGAAAATTATAATTTTTGTCAAATATCCCAAAACTTGGTATGTTCTCGTTCATTACGGTTAAATCAGCTACAATCATTACCTTACATAAAAACTTGTTTTTATCTTAACTTATTTACTTTTGTCTTCATTTTGGTTTGCGATTTTATTTTATAAACACAAAAATAGTTTTCTATTCATAGTTATAAATTCAAGTAAGTTTATATTTGGTATATACATGACTTTTACACTGAATTTAGTAAGAAAAGGAAGTATAAGCTTCTATTCATTAGGCAAATTAGCAAAATTGAAAAAAGATAGCTGTGGGTAGTTTAATGTTTTATAAATAACGTAACGTTACCGTTGCGTTTCACATTAATCATTCCGAAATAACTTTGTACTCACACGATTTAAAGTAACTTTTTACGTACATCGAAAGAATTATGAAGTTATCTCTATTTCATTACAACTTTTGTATAGTTCTTTATCACTAATTTAAATTCGAATTTTTCAAAGAAAAATATATAAACGTTTACCAGAATCAACTTTTATGCTTTACATTGTTTCAATGATATTGTGCACCTTACAGTAGTGTTTAGATGATTCAAAATGTGCTAATGCGAATAATCGGTTCTAATATTTAAATAATCAAACCTTTACATGTTTTTTTTAAATTTGCTTATGAATAGAACGAGTCTAATTTTTTTATAATTTCTTTGAATCCTACTGCGGTGAAATTACAGGTAAGTTTAGTAGATGCCGACTGTACAATGGTAGTATAGAGTAATTGAAAACCATTTTTGATAAACGCTTAACTGCCGTTGGTCACGTTTTAAATGCAATACTCTGTACAAAGTTACCGTCACTGCGGTCAAAGACTTAAAAAGAAATGTGTGCAGCACACATGGACAGATGACACTGGAGCAACGCCCGAAGGTGTGATAAGCTTAGCGTCTCATAGTTTGCTATGCAGGATTTGTGGAACATTGTTTACTAGTCTTCCAATCAAAGTGCACAAGAGGAAATGTGTGCAGAAAAATTCAAAGAGTGGTTTGTGCCATTTTTACAAAATATGCCTGCGAATATAGTATTATAGTAATGGACAATTCTGTCCAAATTAAAAAAAAGCGCCAACTCAAGCGAACAAGAACGCAGATTTAGTAGCATGGCTGCAACACAAAGGAGTGGAACCGGACGTGAATTTATTAAAAGCAGAGCTAATTATAATATAATATCCTTTCTGCTATATCTACTGCGTTTTATTTAATATATCGAGTCCTCCCTACCTTAAAGAACGTTTCCAATTTCTCAGCTCCTCTCATAAACTTTTCCTTCAGTCCTTAGAAAACCTTTCCCTTCTATGTCCCTTGCACTCTTCTACATTTTGCAGTAAATCTTTTTCAGTTCTTGGAGTGAAGCTTTGGAATTCCTTACCATCAACTATAAAACGTGCTCAAACAATGGACTCCTTTAAAAACCAAGTTAAAAAAACATTATCTTTCCTTCTAAATCATCCCTCCTCCTTTTATCTATTCCTGTCGTTTTATGATCACTAGTCTGTCAATTAAGTAGATTCCGGCATGTTTATTAATTTACTTTTATATTTGTAGATTATAATATTATTTATAGTGCACTCTACCCATTAATTAACTTTTCACTTATTTTTATTTCCTATTTAGGTTGTCTGGAAGAAATTGCTGCATAGCAATAAGACCACCTTTTGGTTTTTTTTTGTTTGTTTTCTGTTATGTTGTTTTTTTTAGTGTTCAATAAAGAGTATTGTATTGTATAATTAGTAAAGCAAAATAAACCACTTCAACAGTTGTACATTATTGATGCATTAGCAGAAAAGCAGGTTGTAAGACTGCCACCACACCACTGCCAATATAGTGCTATTGAATTGATCTGGGACCAAATAAAAGTTAGTTCTGTTCTTATGACAAAGGTTCTAAATGCAAATATGTTACATCTAATTAAACACGTGCGAGATAAAAATACTTATATGCTTTTACGGGCTACGAGGCATGTCACAACATCAAGATATATTTCACGATGAAAAAGTTTCACGATGGAAGAAGGTCTACCGAAGTAAGCATGTGGCCATGTCACAAAGGGTGACAGGATCACTCCACGAGGTTATGGAGAAAACAGACTACTGTAATGTAATGTTATGAGTTATGACGCATATGAAAGAGACATTAATTTTACCTGCATTATTGAAAATCAAATAACTTAATGTAAACAAAGATGTTGACGAATACAGCTCAACTAGTTGTGGTGCAAGTACAAGTAATTAAATAAATTTGTTTTTAATCTACTGCAGTCTTTAATTTATATAACCTTGTTATTTATTTATTTTTATATTAAACGACGTAGAATTACATCGTCTCTGAAATACATCATGAGGTAAATTGTTAAAAAATAATAATAGTGTGAGAGCGGATGTTCAAATTGCTCTCACGCTTACGCTATTAATCATCATCATCATCATCATTATAGCCCTTCACAAGTCCACTGCTGAACATGGGCCTCCCCTAAGTAATGCCAATGCACGGTCCTGAGCCACCTGCATCCGTCGACTTCCTGCATATCTTACCAGGTCGTCACTCCATCTATAGGGGGGTCGCCCTACACTTCGCCTACCGGTACGAGGCTGCCACCTTAGAACCTTTCTTCCCCATCAGTTATCGGTTCTTCGAGCTATATGGCCGGCCCATTGCCATTTCAGCTTACTAATCCGTTGGGCTATGTCGGTTACTCTGGTTTTACTGCGGATATCCTCATTTCTGAGTCTATCACGCAGAGATACCCCGAGCATAGCCCTCTCCATAGCTCGCTGAGTGACCTTGAGCGTCCTCATACGGCCAGCAGTGAAGGACCACGTCTCAGATCCGTAAGTCATCACTGGCAACACGCACTATTTGAACAATCTTGTTTTCAGAGATTGAGGTATACCTGACGAGAAGATGTGTCGTAATTTCCCGAACGTTTCCCAGCCGAGTTGAATTCGATTGACCTCTCGGTCGAAGTTGGACTTACCTAGTCGGACTATTTGTCCTAGGTAAACGTACTTGTCAACAACTTCGAGCTTAGTGCTCCCAACAACTACGGGTATAGGTGTGACATGGTAATTAAACATGATCTTTGTTTTATCTATGTTCATCTTAATACCTATCCGTTGGGAGACACCATTGAGGTCATTGAGCATAGTGCTTAGGTCCTCCAGCGATTCTGCCACAAGGACTATATCGTCGGCAAATCGAAGGTGAGTGATGTACTCGCCATTGATGTTAATACCGTATCCTTTCCAGTCCAGTAGCTTGAAAACGTCTTCCAATGCAGCGGTGAAGAGTTTCGGGGATATAACGTCACCCTGTCTTACACCTCTCTGCAGTTGGATAGGTTTCGAACTCTGGTTCTGTACTCGGATAGCCATCGTAGTCTTACTGTACAAACACTTCAGCACTTCGATATACCGACAGTCAACTTGGCACCGCTGAAGGTGCTGTAGCACCGCCCAAATTTCGACGGAATCAAAGGCTTACTCATAGTCTACATACGCCAGGCAAAGTGGCAGATTGTACTCTTCGGTCTTGTGTACAATCTGCCGCAAGGTCTGGGTCTATGGTACTGAAGCCTTTTCGGAAAGCGGCTTGTTCGGGAGGCTGGAAGTCGTCGAGTCTGCGTGCGAGACGGTTCGTAATGACTCGAAAACAGCACATAGACGCGGCTCAGAAGGGAAATCGATCTGTAGTTCTTCAAGAGAGCGTTGTCGCCTTTCTTAAAGAAGAAGACCACCGCACTTCTGCTCCACGCCTCCGGTGTAGTGCCACCATGGATGACGGAATTGAAGAGCTTCTAACTATATTAATCATCATCAGCAGTAAAATGGCACCATACAATCACTATAGAGCAATTATAGCTCGACCATACCGTTATAATATGTCCCCGTCATAATTTACACAGTAGTATATTATAGCTTGGGGTTCGTGAGAATAAAAACTGCCGATTGAATTACCTTTTTACAGAACACTAATTACAACTTAAAACACACTAATAATAAAACACAACTGATCACTTTAGTCCGCAGTTGTATTGCTTCGAACTATTCGCTTATTTCGCCAATTTAATACTGACCCGGGTCGCGGTCGATACCGGCCTTATATAGGGCCTCTTCTAATGAAACATCTAGAATGTTCGAGTACATACCGGTCCCAACTGACTAAAAAAAAAAAAAAAAAAATAAAATAATTTATTTTTCTTCACAAAAATTAAATGAATGACATAGTTGACTGGGATCTCCATTTAAGCAAGTAATGCCTGTGTTTGGAAATCCCGCTCTTCCTTATCTAAACATACATTTTTTTAATTTAAAAAACCAAAAATAACAAAAACAAATTACTCGACTTTAACAACCAAAATTTACAAAAATTACAAAAGTGTGTATGTGTGCATGCGTGCGTACGAGCGCGCGCGCATGTGTGAGTGTGTGTGTGTGTGTGTGTGTGTGTGCGTGCGTGCGTGTGTGTGTGTGTGTGTGTGTGTGTGTGTGTGTTAATGAAAAATCATTTTGTTAAATTATATTGTATATAGAAGTGAATTATGAAATGCGGTACAGCAGAAATTCGGTTTCTTCATAAGTTTTCGACTGCACCCACTTAAGTATCAGGTTTTTACACTCCCTGTACGTTTTGTTGTATATGTTCAATTCTCTATTTATTTTATTGTATAGGAATGCAGAACATGAGCTAAATTGCCTACTAGCAAAAACTGTTTTGGTACCAGAAGGCTTAACCACAATATCTTTTCGCCGCTTTTTCAAGATGCATGGGTCAAAGGACAGGGATTTGTGTGCTTTGAGGATTG